GCCTGCAGAAGTCTTGCAGGAATAATTTTGCAATAGGTCCCAAGCGTTATAATAAATGAAGAACGAAGAGGCACAACAGAAATAATAGAACTTCAATCATGACAGCCTATAGATTAGAAACGATCCTGAGAGGTTTTCATCATAACTGTCAGATCTATGCTGACCAAAACCCAATGAGGAAGTCATTCTTGAAACAACAACATCCACAATCTTGTCCACACTCATATCCTAAGTTACCCAAAAGCCTCTTCCTCCTAGTTGGTCAAAATAAAAATGCTGAATACCATCTAGCATAATTGCAGTTGATCTCCTAAAAATGAGCCTTCTGACCAGATGATGATCAAGTTGGTCATCAATGCATCTCTTGACTGATTTATGACCAAAAGGGTGAAAGGAGAAAGGAAATGGTGCTTCAGTTCTCCAACTTCATCAGTAACCAACAGAGAGCAATGGACTTGCCTAGATTTCCTTGCTAAGGCACAAGTCATGAGTGTGGTCACATATCTGCTAGAGTTTCAACAATAGAGACTAATGATTACGTTATAAATAACAGTGCCCATTCTTTCTATACCTTGATGAAAATCACCTCAAATAATTTTGAAGTAATGTAATATGATTGCCACCATAACACTATTTACTTGTAATTTTCATTACCATATTATTAATTTGTAGTTTATTTTATTATTTATTTATAACGTATGTATTTATAATACTGTGATATAGTACCTGATGTTTATAATACTTCATTATTTATTTGTAACACATGCATTTATAATACTGTATTTTAAATAGAAAAGTTGCTAAAAGACTAGATCTGAATTGTTCCCACCACAAAAAGCAATGATAATTATGTGGAGTGATAGTGGAATATATAACTTCATGAAATCAACACATTGAACATCTTAAACTTGCACAATGTTCAATGTCAATTATCCTATATTATAAAAGGGTAATATGCAAACTGACCAAATGGTGGAACCACTGGTCACTATGACACACACTGACCACCAGGGGGCAGATACTCAACGCAGGAGCTGCTCCCTGGTTGTAGATGTGCTCCCACAGGGGGAGCCCCTCTCAGCCAGAAGCCAGGCTGATGGCTGGCAAGATCAGCAATGGTGGCAAGAGCCTTTCACGCCTCCATGGTAGTACTAATGGGAGCCGGCCTAAGCCATCAGTCGGACATCCCCTGAGGGCTTCCAAACTGCAAAAGGGGGCAGGCTGGGCTGATGGACACCCCTCCCCCAGTTCACAAATGTTATGCACTGGGTCTCTAGTATGTCAATAAAATCATCATCATTGCCAGCATCTGGGGTGGAGGAGAGCTAAAAGCTGTCTTCTCCAGAAATAGGTCTGTCTAGGTTTATTGTTCACTCATAAGTATGTTATAAGTACATATATATATATTTCACTTACATGTGGAATCTAAAGAACAAATCACTAGAGTGTTGGTTTTTGTTTTTGGTTTTTTTCATGAAAATGAGGCCCTAATGGGCACATGGTTTTCCCATCCAGCTAGTGAACTGGGAGAGGCCCTAGTTCAACAAGGGACAGGCATTTATAATGTGGGGATACAGAGCCACCTTTTGGTGAGGAGGTGAAAGAACACCAAGAAGGACTAGGTGGAGGCCTATGGGCCAGGATCTGAGCAACCTGAAGTTGCTTCTGAGTATCTGGTTCTTTCTTTCCCTTATAAGAATTAGGAAAATCCCACAAAATACACAAATAAACTAAGTGAAGGTGTGAAGGAATGTTTTAAGGCCAGCAGGAAGATTTGAGTACTGAGACAGGTCTTTCCTACATTTTAAGGAGACCAAGTATTACAAAATCGGGAGATATAGGGAGAAATATCCTTGGATATTTCTGTAAGTGCCTCACCTGGGAGTTGGCTGGCTTTCAACATCTGTATCCAAATTATAATCAAAACTCATGGCTAAGACTCAGGAGAAGGGAAATATACTCTAGAGGAATACCTCCTGAAAAGTCACCAGCTTGCCTGGAGTGTGGTAAGATTCTTCCATCCTTTGGTTAGTTTTTCTTAAAGTATTGCACCTTGTGTGAATTGAAAATGGGGAATGGGGAATAAGGTGCTGGAACCCCTTACCAAGATGCAGACTTTCTTAATGCTGAAACAATGATGGGCTGAAGCTACTAGTCACTCAAGGATTGGTATCAATGTAAGAGGGAGCGGTTAAGAAAGTCACTTGCTTTTTTTTTTATATATATATTTTATTGATTTGTACAGAGAGGAAGGGAGAGAGATAGAGAGTTAGAAACATCGATGAGAGAGTCATCGATCAGCTGCCTCTTGCACACTCCCTACTGGGGATATGCCCGCAACCAAGGTACATGCCCCTGACCGGAATCGAACCCGGGACCCTTCAGTCCCCAAGCCGACTCTATCGATTGAGCCAAACCGGTCTCGGGGAGAAAGTCACTTGCTTTTATCAACATCATCCACCCAAAGGTGGCCAGAAGCACAACTGTGATTGAACAAGGTAAGTTTATTGCTAGATGCAGTGGTGGAGGCCATGAGGAACTATGGGGTGTCTAAGAGAGTGTTAGAAAGGACTTACTAGATAAGATTTGGGCTTATAATATATTATTTTAAGGATGTTCGAGCATGTAGCGCTGGGAGAGGACCCAGCAGTAGTTGGGGCTGCCTGGTCTGAGGAACCCCGGCCAGCAGTCCCCACTTTCTCCTGGAATTTAATTGTCCCTTAACTTGCCAAAAAACACTCCCTGTGCGACCCTCAGATGTTCTTTCTTTCTGTTCTGAGACAAGGCTCAAAACATGTGTTTATTCCTCCACCATTTTCGGATCCCTCCGTTGTAGGCTTGACCCCCAGTCCAGGTTGGGGCATGTTTTGAGCATGTTTTCATATGTCTCTTGGCCTTCTGTATGTCCATTTTGCAGAAGTGTCTATTTAAGTCCTTGGCCCATTTTTTATTGGATTATTTATCTTCCTTTTGTTGAGTTGTACGAGTTCTGTGTAAATTTTGGAGATTAAATCCTTGTCAGAGATAACATTGCAAATATGTTCTCCCATGCAGTGGGCTTTCTTTTTTAATTTTTTAAAATTTATTTTATTTTATATATTTAAAAATATATATTTTATTGATTTTTCTACAGAGAGGAAGGGAGAGGGAGAGAGAGACCCAGAAACATTGATGAGAGAGACACTGATTCAACTGCCTTCTGCACACCACCCCACTGGGGACGTGCCCACAACCAAGGTACATGCCCTTGATGAACCTGGGACTTTTCAGTTCATAGACTGATGCTTTATCCACTGAGCCAAACCGGTTAGGGCAGCAGTGGGCTTTCTTGTTGTTTTGTTGATTGTTTCTTTTCCTGTGAAGAAGCTTTTCATTTTGATGTAGTCTCATTTGTTTATTTTCTCCTTAGTTTCCTTTTCCCTAGGAGTTGTATCAAAAAACATATTCTATGAGATGCCTGAGATTTTGCTGCCTATGGTTTCTTCTAGGATTTTTATTGTTTCCTGACTTATATTTAAGTATTTCTTGGTCCATTTTGAGTTTATTGTTGTGTATGGTGTAAGTTGGTGGTCTAGTTTCATTTTTTTGCATGTATCTGTCCAATTTTCCCAATACCATTTGTTGAAGAGACAGTCTTGATTCAATTGTGTGCTTTTGCCTCTTTTGTCAAATATTAATTGAATGTACTGACTTGGGTAGCTTTCTGGGGTCTCTCTTCTGTTCCGTTGATCTATATCCCTGATCTTTCCTTTCCTTTCCTTTCCTTTCTTTTTTTTTTAAAAATATTTTATTTATTTATTTATTTATTTATTTATTTATTTATTTATTTATTTTTATGGCTCTGTCTTCCCTACCCCAGACAGTGGGGCTACACACAGTGCTGAGAGCTTGGTGATTTTTTGTTTGTTTGTTTGTTTTGTTTTTAAATATTTTATTCATTTTTTACAGAGAAGAAGAGAGAGGGACAGAAAGCCAGAAACATCGATCAGCTGCCTCCTGCAACCAATGCACAGGCCCTTGATCGGAATCAAACCTGGTCTGCAGGCCAACGCTCTACCCACTGAGCCAAACCAGTTTCGGCTATATCCCTGTTCTTTTGCCAGTATCTGGCTGTTTTGACTACGGTGGCTTTATAGTATAATTTAAATGTGCTGCACTCAGCCCTGCATTAGCACCACTTGTGCCATGCCAGCACAGCCAAAGGTTCAGCCAGCCTGAGGGAGGGCAGTGAAGGATGAAGAAAAAGATAGACAAGAGAATAAGCTGGGTCTCGATGGATCTTCTGTGCCTTTTTGAGGCCACAGAACAGATCCAGACTGCAAAGCTGATGCTTTATTTTATGGTCAGGGGTAAACAAGGTAATTTACAATGTTCTTGTAAGATTCACCTGTTTTGGCAGCACTTGCTGCCCCTCCCACAGCCCATTAGCTACCCAGGAACATCTAGGAAGCAGTTTGAAGATCAAGCTTAATTATGCTTAGAGGACTGTGCCCTCCAAGCTGGGACTTGTTTGCAACTTTGCCAGCAGGTCAGTCTGAGGCTTAACTGCTTCCTACATCTTGACCTTCTTTTAATTTTAAGCTACTAATAATGGAAGTAAAACTTAAACCTTAAGGACAAAGCTCTGACTATTCAAATATTAACAAAAGAATGCCAATGTAAAAACCAATAACAAAACAATGCAAATGCAAAACCCAGACATTGTTATTAATAAAACAATGCCAATGCAACACTACAGTGGTAGAGAAATCAAACTACAGTAACATTTTCCTACTAAATGAAAGCTTCTTTTGCTGATTTGCTTAAGAGTCCTCAGACTTGGTTGCTCAAGAGTTTGCAGAAGACTGACAGCTAACAAATGCTAGCACAGCCAGATACATGATTGAGGGAGTAGCTTCCACTTCTTGCTTTTCTGCCATCTTCTGGGCCTCAGTTGTTAACTTCTTCAGCTGACCCCATGTTGGCATCTCGGTCTCTTGCGTAGCCTTTGTCATCTTCCCTTTCCGCTTTGCTGTCATCGGGGCAACTTTCAGTCTTTTGAACGATGGGACAAGGAGCTTCTCTGGGTCCATTGTGGTGATGGACATAATGTTTTGGCACTCAAATTGGCTGCACTGCTCCTTCTGGAAAGAAACAAACACAACCTCTTCTCCACATGTATGCATCTGTCCAATTTTCCCAATACCATTTATTGAAGATTACCAGATCTGGTCCAAATCATTGTTTAGTTTGTGCATCCTTATTGTACAGGAGGCTTGATGCCTTTCGACTGCTGTATGATCCTCTGCATCACAATTCAAAAAATTTAAAATATAAAAAAATAAAAATAAAAAAATTAAAAAATTAAAAAATTAAAATATAAAGAACATGACTGGGTTTGTTTTAGAAATAAAACTACTCTTTATTATAGAAATGTGAATCCTGTTGCTGGAATTAGCTTGAATTTCTTTCGAGAAGACGTTTTCACCATTTTTCTTAGGGAAAACCCTAGGTCTGGTATTTTCATTTCCTATAGCTTTTGCAAAGAGATTCCAGCTTAAGACAATCTAAATGTCTGAAATCGGACCATGCACTCACTCTTCTGACAGCTAGGTGTCTTCCCACGAGCACAGACATTCCTGACACATTTCTAAATTTTTAAGACCTTTTTCATGGCGAAAGGAAATTTTAAATTAGCCTGAGATAGTAGGCTTCCATATTGGATCACCGTGTGTTTCCCTTCCCCCACATTCTGCTTACTTCGGGGGAAGTTTCAGCAACAGATCTGGCCAAATTTCTTTTCATGTTTAATAAATAAAGATATTAAATTTTTTCTTTTTTTTTCACTTTCTAAAGTAATAACTAATCACCCAATTTGGCCAAGATCTGCATTTCCCTGCCACATTCCTCCACTCTCCTTCTGGAGTGGGCGCTAGGCAGTCCCGAATCAGGGACCACAGACTGAAAGTAGAGGCAGGCATTTTCTCTGGACCTCAGCTATATAATGTCGTGAAGTTGTTTTCCTACCTTCTCCTATGCCTCTACATTTACCTTTTCTTCCTCAGAAAACCATGGGCAGGTTTTACTTACAAAATCCAAAAAATTGAAAAGCTGTTCATACCTCACAGAATAGCCCCTTGCTTGGAGCATAGCCTTAAACATGGATACACATACATTCTTTCCCTTCAATTCCATGTGTTACACCTAGCTAGTACTAAACTGCATTCCTTACCTTCCTTTTTGCTTTCTGCACGTGCTTCACTGGTGTGTCATTTCACCTGACAATTGCAGTTCCTTCACACTCAGGCCTGCATCGAGTGCCACTTGGGCAGAACTCATCCCCGAGTTGGGTACCACTTGTGCCATGCCAGCACAGGCAAGGGTTCAGTGAGCCTGAGGGAGGATGGTGAAGGATGAAGAAAAAGACAGACAACAGAATAAGCTGGGTCTAGGTGGATCTTCTGTGCCTTGTTGAGGCCACAGAACAGATCCAGACTGCAAAGCTGATGCTTTATTTTATGGTCAGGGGTAAACAAGGTAATTTACAATGTTCTTGTAAGATCCACTTGTTTTGGAAGCACTTGCTGCCCCTCCCACAGCCCACTAGCTACCCAGGAAAGATCTAGGGAGCAGTTAGAAGATCAAGCTTAATTATGCTTAGAGGACCATGTCCTCTAAGCTGGGGCTTGTTTTCAACTTTGCCAGCAGGTCAGTCTGAGGCTTAACCCTATAACCACTTCCTACACTTGAAATCTGGTATTATAATTCCTCCAACTTTGTTTCCCCCCCCCCCCCCCCCCCATAAGATTGCTGCAGCTATTCAGGTTCTTGTTTTGATTCCATAAAAACACTTTTGGAGTTTTGTTCTAGATCTGTGAAATACTTTTTTTAAAAATTTGTATTTATTTATTTATTTATTTATTTATTTATTTATTTATTTTTATGGGAATTGCATTGAATCCGTAGATTGCCTTGGGTAGTATGGACATTTTAATGATGTAATGATGTTGATGCTACTAATCAATGAACACAATATATTCTTACATTTGTTTATAGCTTCTTCTATCTCTTTTTTCAACGTCCTGTAGTTTTCTGAGTACAGCTCTTTTGCCTCCTTGGTTAAGTTTACTCCTAAGTATTTTAACTTTTTTGTTGCAATGGTAAATGGGATTGTTTGTTTAGTTTCTCTTTCTGAGAATTCATTATTGGTATATCAATTTGGGAGAGCGGTGTTGATTTTGTATCCTGCCACGTTGCCAAATTCCTTATTGAATTTTAGTAGTTTTTTTGGTGGACTCCTTAGGGTTTTCTATGTACAATATCATGTCATCTGCAAATAATGATAGTTTTACTTGCTCCTTTCTAATTTGGATGCCTTTTATTTCTTATTCTTGTCTGATCACTAGCCAGAACTCCCAGTACTATGTTGAATAAGAGTGGTGAAAGTGGGCATCTGGGTCTTGTTCCTGTTCTTATGGGAAATGGTTTTAGTTTTTGCCCTTTTAGTATGATGTTCAATGTAGGTTTATCATATATGGCCTTTATCGTGTTGAGATTTGTTCCCTCTATTCCCACTTTGCTGAGAGTTTTTATAAAAAATGGGAGTTGGATTTTGTTAGATGCTTTTTCTATGTCCATTGATATGGTCATGTGATTTTTGTCTTTCATTTTGTTTAAGTGATGTATCATGTTTATTGATTTGCAAATATTGTACCAGCCTTGCATCCCTAGAATAATGCCACTGGGTCATGATGTATGATCTTTTTAATATATTGCTGAATCTGATTTGCTAATATTTTTGCTGAGGATTTTAGCATCTGTGTTCATCAGGGATAATGAATTTTTTCTTTGTAGTGTCTTTATCTGACTTTGGAATTAGGATAATGCTGTCCTCAAGAAAGAGCTTGGAGTGTTCCTTCCTCTTGTATTTTCTGAAATAGTTTGAAGACTATAGGTGTGAATTCTTCTTTGAATGTTTGGTAAAACTCCCCAATGAAGCCGTCCAGACCTGGGTTTTTGTTTGCTGAGAGTTTTTTTTTTTTTTTTTTTTAATTACTGCTTCTATTTGATCAGTTGTTATTGGCTTATCCAGGTTTTCTGATTCTTCCTGATTCAGTTTTTGGATATTGTATTTTTCTAGGAATTTGTCCATTTTATACATATTGTCCAGCTTGTTGGCATATAGTTGTTCATAGTATTTTCTTAGAATCCTTTGTATTCCTGTGGTGTCAGTGGTTACTTTTTACAGGGAGGAAGAGAGAGGGATAGAGAGCTAGAAACATCGATGAGAGAGAGAGTCATCGATCAGCTGCCTCTTGCACACCCCCTACGGGGGATGTGCCCGCAACCAAGGTACATGCCCTTGACCGGAATCGAACCTGGGACCTTTTGGTCCACAGGCCGACGCTCTATCCACTGAGCCAAACCGGATTCAGCAAGGCAGTTATACTTTTTATTTTTCAAGGAACCCCCATACATTTTTCCATAGTGACTGTATCAAGGGTTTCCTTTTCTCCACATCCTCACCAACACTGGTGATTTATTTATTCAAATATATTTTTATTGATTTCAAAGAGGAAGGGAGAAGAAGAGAGAGATAGAAACATCATTAGTTAGAGTGAATCATTGATTGGCTGCCTCCTGCAAGCCCCCCACTGGAGACTGAGCCCGCAACCTGGACAGATACCCTTGACCTCAATTCTGCAGGCCGACGCTCTATCCACTGAGCAAACTGGCTAGGTCTGGTTGATTTATTGGATGGTAGCCATTCTAACAGGTGTAAGGTGATAGCTCATTATGGTTCTAACTTGTATTTCTCTGACGATTCGAGAAATCTTCTCCAGGATCATCCATGCTGCCACAAAGAGTAAAATTTTCTTTCTTTTTTTCTTTTTAAAAAATATATTTTATTGATTTTTTTTACAGAGAGCAGAGAGCGAGCTAGAAACATTGATGAGAGACATCGACCAGCTGCCTCCTGCACACCCCACACCAGGGATGGGCCCGCAACCAAGGTACATGCCCTTGACCGGAATCGAACCCGGAACCTTTCAGTCTCCAAGCCGACGCTCTCCATTGAGCCAAACCGGTCTCGGCCAAATTTTCTTCTTTTTTAAGGTAGAGTAGTATTGCATTGTGTAAATGTATCATAGCTGTTCACTACTAATGGACACTTGAGCTGCTTCCAGATCATGGCTATATCTGCTTTTATGATGATAGCCACCAATAATTATAAGAAAAGGTGATGTCATCTAAGAAAATAGAACAAACAAACAAAATGTGAACAAATTTAGATTCTGTGGCTTAGGAAAACCTATGGGAGGGGAACACATGGGCTTTGGCAGTGACCCGGGGGGAAGAGATTTTCATGCAAAAACTATAACAGGAGCAAAGGCCCTGAGGCAAAGAGGAGCCCATCACAGATTAGGACAGACAGAGGCTTTAGGGCTGGGGGAGGGGGGAAGGGCAAGTAGAGAGTTACATCCCTCAGGATGAGGACCTGCTGGGATGAGAACAGTGAGCAACTCTGAGAACCTGGTGGATCCTGTGTCTGTTCTCAGCCCTTCATAAACATCCAGTTTTTTCATCATCTCAACTACCCCATGACCTAGTTTTAGGAATCTACATGTTTTAGGAATGAGGCATTTAGAGGCTATAGTAACTGGTCCAAATTCACCCGGACCACACTGGCAGAATCTGACAGAGCTGGGATTTGAACCCAGGATGTGTTGGGGCCCAGAGTGAAGCCCTGAGTACTGTGCTGTCCTGCTCAGGGCCTGATACCAGCACAAGAGCAGGCCCTGTCCTCACAGTGACTCAGTCCTCTCTCTGACCCTGACACTGATACTGTGCCTGCACCGAGCAGACCCCTGTACCCATTTGCTCACTGCATGACCTACACTCTCCAGTTTTCAGATGGGAAATGCAGGCTTACCTTTGACAAGCCCATGGTCACATAGCCCTGCCAGGTTCCAAATCAGCTGCTGGCCCCTCAGTGCTCAGCGCCGAGCCTCCCACGGGGGCTTCCAGGTGCTCGTGACCAAGACACTCAGCAGGAAACAAACTGGCCAGGAGTCTTCCTCTTTCTCTCTGTCCCTGTTTCTCCCTCATTCACTCACTCACAATCTGTATGCTTCTCCCTCTTTAATCATAGACATCAGGCCAACAAAAGAATGACAAGAAAAAAGTATGACAAAAATATTGGGAGCTGGGAGTGAGGGACAGAGAGTGCTGGCTCAGAACAAGAAGCTAGTCCATCACAGTGAGGCACAGGCTCTCTCCCTCCTCTCCTCTTCAGCCCCTCAGTGCAGCTTCAACCCTCCCACCTCCCATTGGAGCTGCAGGTGCCGGAACCACGAGGTGGCTCTGGGGCTGGGTCATCTTCTCCCCATCCTTGTCCCCTTGATGAGAGAAGAACCCTGAGCCCAGAGTAAAGAGAGAATACTTAGGCTGACTGAGGAGACACTGATGGCTGTGGGCAGGGAGGGCTTTAGGAGCGGAGAGAAGTTCCTGTGCAATCATTTCTCAGCAAGTAGTGACAGGAAATTCAGAAAGAACACATTTAACCTCACTGGACTCTAGGGCATGTTTTTATCGTTTGAAAACAATACCACTGACCCATTTCCCCTTATATCTTAAGGTATGTACTTTTAGCCAGATGTTCCAAGTTTCCAGGAGGATGGCTGGGTTGTTCCTTATAACCTGCAGAAAATGAGAGCTACAGAGACATAGCCTCCATGTCGTGTTGTCACCTGAGTGAGGCAGGGTCCTTACCGGGGACAGACTCCAGAGATGGGAGAGTTAGAGCACCGCGACTTCATGCCCAGAACCTTCAATCTCACAACAAATCTCTTCTGGGGGCCAAACGACTCAGGACAGCAGAGCTCAAAGCAGGGCCAGAACTTGCAGTTGGGGCCACAGAATTGGGTCCGGCCGAGGGCCAGGATGGTGTCATCATGGCAGCAGTGCTCCAAGGGGCTGTACATCTGGCGTCCACATCTGGGTGCTTGCTGGCACATCCACAGGTTGGAGTTCATGTGGGCCTCTGGACAGAAATTGCTGGTGACTTCATGGAGAACCAGGCACTATCCCATCCACTAAATCAAGATTTTCTTTAAAACCACTTCCCAAGGGTAGCTTCATCCCTCTTCATTCTTCCCCACCCTATACTCACCTGACTCTGAGCACTGGAAAAGGGAGACTGATATGAAGATGACACCTGGATGAGAAAGAAGGAGGCTTAAGGCTGAGGCTTGGATTTTGGACCTCGGGCAGGGCAGACCAGTGTGGGGAAGGTTTAGACCCCAATTTACTCTAAAAGTTTGGGTTTGGGGTCATCTCTGCATAGGGTCTAGCTCCTGACACAGATAGGAGTCCAGAAATCTGGGCCTAAACATCCCAGACCCTTTAAGGGAGAGAACGGGGGTTTGGGGGACTCTGAACCAAAGCTTAGAATTCTAAGAATGCAGTGAAATTTCCCAGTTGGGAGAAAGGCAGAGCAGGCATTAAATATATCAATTAAGTGATTTGGAAGGATAAAGGAAGCTGAGTTTAGACAGGAGGAGAATTTGGATGTATGGATGCTTTTGGGAATATGATTTGGCTTGACTAGGTCTTGGAGTTGGAGCTCTCCTATATTTCAGCTTCTGGGTGCCATGACTGTGAATGAAGTTTAAGAAATGAAGTTCAAAAGAATGGGGCATGGATTTCGTTTTTATAGATGTTATAACAATACTGTTATTATATAATAATATAGGTTAAAGCCTAAGATTACCTAAAATGATACAGAAAAAGCATTTGACAAAATCTACATTTTTATAATTTTAAAATCCCCAACAAAGAACAAGCTATTAATAGAAAAGAACTTCCTCAATCCAATAAAGGGTATCCACAATAAACCTCATTATATAACATACCAAATAGTGAAAGACTGAATGCTCTCCCTTTAGCATCAAGAGCAGGACAAATATGTCCACTCTTACCACTCTATCCAACATAGCACTGAATGCTTAAGTCAGAGAAATTAGACCAGAAAAGAAAGAAGTGCATTCAGATTGGAAAAGAAGTAAAACTATTTCTACTTGCAAATGACATGATCATGTATATTAAAAATTCTAAGGAAGCTACAAGACCCCACAGAACAAACTGAGAAAGTCAGCAAGGTTGTAAGATACAAGATCAACATATAAAATCAATTGTATACACTAGCTAAGACCACCTGAAAATGAAAGTTAGAGAATAATTCTACTTATTCAATACAATAGAACCAAAATAAAATACTCATGAATAAACTTAACAAAAGAAGTGCAAACTTTGTAAACTGGAAATAACTGAACATTGTTGAGAGGAAGTGAAGAGAATACATAAACAAACTGAAATACATCCATATTCATAAATTGGAATACTTTAGGAATCAACAAACTGACCCTACAACTTGCATTGAAATGCAAAAGACCTGAATTACTCCAGAGGATTGGCAGCAAGAGAGAGCACTTGACCTTTTCCATTGAAATAGCAAGTTAACCAACTATAATTAAACAAAGAAATCACTGTTCAACACAGACCCTGAGAAAACCAGGTATTGAACATCTAAAGGTGGGCAACTGAGAATAAGTGAGGAGAGAAGAAGGGAGGAGAGTGCAGAAAGCCCAGAGAAGCAGCCCTGCAGCTGTAAGCACATGGCCAGACCTGGAGAGGAAGGAAACGGATGTAGCAGGAATTTCCTTTTCTGTGAGGAACTGAGAGCTTCAGGGGGCAGCCCCGAAGGGCCAATGGCAAGAGAGCAAACAGTGTCTGAGTCAGGAGTTGCCTGACAGAGCACTGGGTTCTGCCGTGTGGCTCCCCACTGTTGGCAGGGTGGCGTGTCCAGACAGAGAAATGGAACCACAGAGTTCGTGGACCCCCAAACTCTCCTCCTGTTGCCCTTGGAGGTAGGCCCAGGAGCATATTACCTAGAAACCAAAAGCTATTGCAGTAGAGCCACAGTTTCCCTCTGTGACTGACCCCAAGGAAGGATGCTTGGGGTGGAACTCCACCACAGAGGTCAGAGGTCACCATTTTGGCAAGGGCAAAACAAATCCTAGCCCCAAAGAGCAGGCCGTACTGTCTTACTCAAGGCTTGGAGGCCAAGACAGATAGATCACAGAGGTAAAAATAAAAAAGTAAGTAAGTAAATAAATAAATAAATAAATCCTATATAATAAAGAAGTCATATGCAAATTGACCATCAGTCCAAGATAGCTACCTCCATGTGGTCAAAGATAGATGCCCCCTTGTGGACACAAGATGACTACCACAAGATGGCCAGCAGGGGAGGGTAGTAGGAAGGGACCAAGCCTGCAGGGCAGGGTAGTTGAGGGCGATCAGGCCTGCAGGGTAGGTCAGTTGGGGGGGACCAGGCCTGTAGGGGAGAACCAGGGTGACAGGGGATGCAGTTAGGGGTAATCTGGTCGGTAGGGGAACAGGCTGGCAGGGAGTGGTTAGGGGGTGATCAGACTGGTAGGCAGAAGGGGTTAGGGGCAATCACATAAGCAGGCAGGTGAGTGGTTGAGAGCTAGCAGTCTCAGATTGTGAGAGGGATATCCGACTGCTTGTTTAGACTGGATCCCACTGGGATCGGCTGGGCAGTCGGACATCCCTCAAGGGGTCCAGATTGGAGAGGGTGCAGGCTGGGCCGAGGGACACCCTCCTTCCTGCCCCCTCCCTCCCCCCAACACACACACATGAATTTCATGCACTAGGCCTCTAGTAAATAAAATAAAATAAAAACCTTGTGATTCTGTGCCATCTACTGGTAAATAGTAGAAAGACTTCTTTAACAGAGATACAAATCAGGAAGTACCATGAATAACTAGGGTAACAAGGATGATCAGAAAGAAAATGAAAAATCCCCAGAAAGCAAGCTGGAACACATGGAAATGCGTGATGTAAATGAGAGATTTCAAGTTTGCAGTTCTAAAAATACTCAATAAGATGCGAGAAAATGCAGAGAGGCAATCCCAATGCACTCAGAAAACAAATCAATGAACAAAACTAGTACTTTACCAAAGACATTGAAACTTTAAAAGAAAAACAAACAGAAATCCTAGAAATTAAGCATGCCATTAAGGAGATTAAGAGTGAACTACTGCACATAGAAAACAGGGCCAACCAGATGTAGGAAGGAAGGATGTGAAATTTAAGATAGGAATCTAGAAATGCCACAGAAGGAAGAAGAGAAAGACCTAAGTATCAAGAAAAAGAAAAGAGCTCCATGAGAACTATCTGACTCCATCAGAAAAAGCAATATTAGAATTATAGGCATGCAGAGCAGGAGGAAAGGGAATATGGAACAGAGCGACTATTCAAACAAAGAATGGATGAGAATTTTCAAACCTATGGAAAGAACTAGGTCCTTGAATCCAAGAAGCAAAGAGAACACTTAGTTACCTCAATCCAAAGAGGACTTCTCTAAGGCACTTGGTATTAAAGCTGTTAAAAATTAATGACAAAGATGCCAAAACTGGTTTGGCTCAGTGGTAGAGCATCGGTCTGCGGACTGAAAGGTTCCAGGTTCGATTCCGGTCAGGGGCATGTACATTGGTTGAGGGCACATCCCTAGTAGGGGGTGTGCAAGAGGCAGCTGGTCGATGTTTCTCTCTCATCGACATTTCTAGCTCTCTATCTCTCTCCCTTCCTCTCTGTAAAAAATCAATAAAATATATTAAAAAAATTAATTAAAAAAAATTAATGACAAAGAAAACATTCTTAAAGCATCCAGGGGAATGAAGAAAGTGACCTATAAAGAAAAACCCATCAGAATTTCATCCAACTTCTCAGCAGAACTCTATGAGCCAGGAGAGAGTTGAACCAAATAGTCCCACATCTAAATGAGAGAAATTACAGGCCTTGAATAATAGAGCCAGCAAAATTATCCTTTAGGTATGAAGGAAAAATAAGGATGTTCCCAGGCATACAGAAGCTGAGGGATTTTATCATCAGAAAACTTCCATTGCAGGAAATACTCAATGCAGTTATTTTACCTGAAACAAAGAACATAAGGTCACAACATCCTGAGTAAGATCACTGAAAACTTACAACATAAAGAGGGATAATTTGTGATGACAGAAACATAAAAGAGGAGGGGATAAAGGTCTGAACTGGCAAAGGGAGATGAAGATCAGATGCACTCAAAAGAGAAAGAACTACAGTATAAATGCAGGCTTATTTTTTATAAACCTAATGGTAACCACACACAAAAATCTGCAAACCAGGACACAGTGCTTAAAAAAGGGGAAACAGAGGAAAGAACTATGGAATATCACCAAACAAAAACAATAGAGAGAAGAATGAAAGAAAAGAACCAATGGAGGCACAGAGCTAGCAGAAAACAAAAGATAAAATGGCTGAAGGGAATCCTCATACATCAGTAATTACCCTAAATGTAAAATCTGAATTCACCAATAAAGAGGCACAGAAGAGCAGAATGGATCAAAAAAAAAACAAAAAAAACCCAACCATATGCTTCGTACAAGAGACACATCTAAGTGACAAAAGACAAAGGTAAATTCAAAGTAAAAAGTAAAAACAATTCTCCAAACAATTAACATCCACAGAGAAGCAGGTGTAGACATCCTATGTAATAAAAGAGAAACATGCAAAATGACCATATCTCCGCTATGCTACCAGCCAATAGGAATGAGTATGCAAATTAACCCAACCAAGATGGCAAGGCAAATAGCAGCCAGGTGGCGCTGGGGCTGCTGGGGTGCATGGGAGATACAAACCAGCAGGGAGGCCGGCACCCTGCAGCCCCAAGCCCCACCATCACAGACCTTAAGTTGGGGGTGGTGGTGGTGGTGGGGTGGATTGGAGACACAAACCCGCAGGCCTGGCACCCAGTAGCCCCAAGGCCTGAGGCAGAGGCGCTAGGGCTGCTGGGGGAGTGGAAGGCGGGCAGTGGAGATACAAACCCACAAGAAACCTGTGGAAAGGGAGATAAACTATCATAACTTTATCTCCCTTTCCACAAAATGAGAAAACTGCCCCTGGATTATTTAGTGATGT